GATGTCTTTATTGGTTCCCCCTTTCTCACCCTGGTTTACCACCCACGGTCCGATTCACATGATCTAATTATTGGCTGGCTGGACACTCCTAAAACTTATCCTTCTACCTGTGTTAGTCATCTCAGTATATCAGTCATTCTGATTCCACAGTATCAATAATATAATATATTGTGTATTAGTTCTTCGTTCTTTTGTTGTGGTACCTAGTAAATCAATAATTCTACTCTTCGCTATATTTAGATTCTTTGATTAACGGTCGGTCTCAAAGCGTGGCGGTGACAAATTGGATTATCAGTATTTAGACAATATCTACTGATATGCATTGTAAATAAAGACATTATTAGACATTAACTTGTTTATCTTTTCATACATCAACAAAAACACAAAGAGCGTATAGTGGCGGGTGGGAGGAAACATGGCCGCGGGTTATAGCTACAGCCAGTTTATGAACGGTGTGGGTTTTAAGACTTTCTTGTTTTGGGCAAAAGTATACCGAGTTTTTATTAAACGCCTGGTTCATTAAAGGCTTATTGGCTAGAGGTTATGGTCATGGGTGTAAAATAGTAAATACAGAACTTGATAGACTACTTTCATCTTGATAGTCTAGTTACACGTTTATCAATCCCCGAAATCAAATTAATGTCCACAAAAAGATCCACCTATTCCAGCGAATCGTCGGTTTAACAAATTACATGATATGAGAAATCTTCTAAAAGAAAGAATCTTCTGGAAGAAAGATTTTTTGTTAGTTTAATAATAGAGACAAATTGGGATTTAGCATCCACTCGACACAGGCTAGATTATTTCGGGACTATTTTAATAATTGGCTGACGCGTAGGCTCTTTAGCAGTGTGACGAAACCGGAGGACCCAAAGAAAGCCCACGAGGATGGACAGCCTAGCTTAAACCATGCTACGAACAAGCGGGAAGTCTAAACCCGTTTTATTACAATAATGGACTTTCACCTAAAAATTCCATTAATGCTACGGGATGCAAGAATCAATTGTGCTGTTCATTTTATGTGTTCTATGTCTTTGAATTCAGTATTTATAGTTGTTCGAAATGTATCTAAAACACGTTTAATTCAAACATTCAACAACACAAAGATACTGCGTCATTTTAAAATTCACTCTAACATATTTCAGTCAAAAGCATGTAATCTAGGCCCTATTACAATTCAAGACGAGAAAGGTCAGCTCTTAAAAATGATTTTGAATTCTAGTGATTTGTAGCTTACACGTAGATTATAATCAGGCAATGATTAGATCAGTATGTTAATATTGAACCATCAATACACACTGGTCAACTGTTGGTGCGTATGGATAGTGATAAGATCTAGATAGTGTATATTGTATGTGTGGCCCCACTGATGTCACCGACCAATCAACCAAATTAAGACTTTAATTGAAAAATTGAAAAGTGTTTTCGGGTGTCCGATACTAAAACGCTAATATGTCGAATAATTTTAATCAGATTGCTGCAAGTTGCCGTAAAGTGTATATAGTGATCACAAGCTATAAGTACAGAAAATTTCGTCTGGTGACCTTATGTGCACTTTAAGGTGTTTCTACGGGATGCAAGAATCAATTTTGCTGTTCATATTATGGACTCTTTGTCTTTGAATTCAGTATTTGACATTTATAGTTGTTCGAAAAGTACCTAAAACACGTTTAATTCAAACTTTCTTTAAATTGTATTGTCATTTTTTAATTTTTTTCTTAGCGATTTTACTGTAGTTTTGAATTGAAGCAAACAATTGTGATTTTTACAGTTTAAAGTTTGTAGAGCAATTCATTATATTAAAATTGAGATTGATTATTTTAATGAATACCAACTGAACTTCACATAAAATGAAAGCATGAATGAACTTTTGCAAATTTTCAACAATGAACTGGTTATTTTGTGTTTGCTAGAGGCTTATATTTTCACTACTGCTGCGTGTGTAATTTAATTTTCTATGACAGAAACTGAATTTCTGGTGCAATAAGGATGTTTGAACATACACTGCATTTAGTTATTACACAAAGACACACTTTTGGCGCCGCATTTACAATTTAGAACATATTGGAGATATTTTATTGATAAATTCTTTGTTTGCGTTTCATCAGTTGTTTTAGATTAGTTACTTATGCTAAAATAATACCATTGAATTCTTTTTCAAACCTTTTTGTTAGCTAACTATACTTTCAACAAACTGGTATCCATGAAGATCTTACCTCCTGTCATAAATTCGGCTAAACATGACAGCTTTGTTACACAGTGTGTCTTCTCGGTGAATATTATTAAATTACTAGTTTTCCGTCTGATTTTTAATCCAATTCTTAAATCTTGAGATGCCAGCGCTCTAAGTCAAATATTCAATTCAAACAGTTAATTTGCTCCCTTCCAACATTGACCCTATCCACAATAAACATGTTAAAGGTGTTGGGCTTTAAGCGTAGAAATTAAGCGAGAAGTGTTCATACAGCAAAGCTATGTGGCTCTCGTTTTCCGAAATCTTTATTAATTTGGTCTCCAGTTTATAAACTTTTGTAAAAATGCAATTGTATTAAATATATTATATGATAGATATGTACATCGACATTGATTGATGGGTGTCTATTCCGCGTATATCAATTTTAACATTTGTAACATGCTTCATTGTCTAAATCTCATGATCCTTTACAATTGAATACCTTTCAATTATTCACTCTGAATCGTTGTTTTAAGTGATTTAAAGCAAAATGTTTACAAGCTAACAGTAAGCAGACGATTCGCAACAAGAAAACGTGATGATTTCTTCTATACGAATCCTTGGCGTTATGACAAATTAACTGCTCCTTATTAGAGCTCTGATCAACTTCGCCCACCATATATAATTTTGGGCTAAAAAGAATATAAAATTGATTTTGGGTAATGAGAAACTCCCTGTCGTGTCATAAAATCCAGTTTAATTACCCAATCGGAAACATTTACGTCGATGCATCAAAATGTTGAACCCCTCTCCTGAAATATATCAAAAGTTATTCAATCAAGTGCCACCTACTGTCAATAAACGAACGCCCCACACCGGTAGTGAAATGCACGATGATTGGTCTTCGCTTGACTGACGTCTTCGTTTTATCAATGAAACAAGTGTTAGCCACGCCCCACTAGAGTATAAAATCTGTTAACAGCCGTTTTCTACTCATTATACTATCCTAGGAAACGTCCTACGACATCCTACAAAGTAAGTATTCCTGTGGATAATTTACTCATACCAAGCTTTGAGATTTTTTTTAACTGTCAGTTGGACTATACTCTGATATCTCTAGTTTGGGTTTTTAAAAGATCAGTGATACTATTCGTAGAAAGGACAATCAGTTATTTTATATCATCTCGTGTTGTGAATGGGTCGCTTATTCCATAATATATCGCTATAAAGTTTATATCCACGTGGTGAGAGCGCGTGCTGAGATATAGCTTTAGATATATATATAGCCTGCAATGTAAGTGATATTTCTAATATTACTTCCTTTTATTGGACTTTAAACACGCTGTCGTGAGCCACTGGTAAGTTATTTTTTCTCCGAAAGTTTTCAAATCGATTTGTGTGATTCATTTCATTCAACGCGAAATTCTCACACACCGATCTTTTCTCTTTTGCATTAAATAAGTTTTATTGTCATTTAACATAGTTTTATAATTATGTCGTTATTGTTATTCATTTCATCGCGTTGCCATCGAATGCGAAATGGACAATCTTCGGCCAGTTTTCTAAACTAGTTTTCTCACAGGTCCGCGTTTTAATTCGGCAATCAACACAAGTTGTTAATTAGGCCAAACATGAAATAGTTGAAATTTTATCACATTGTAAACCGTGAGAGTGAAAAGGTAGTATTATTATGATGATATAACATTATATGTGTGACTCAATAGGCCGTGTTGATACATGCGATACGGCTTTCTAATAGACATTTAGCGTACCACCAGGGCTTTAGACAGTCGATCTTGCTAAATCAGCTTTCTAGTAGGTAAATCTAATATAATACTACATAGACTTTGTTTATATATATAGATACATAGGTATACATGATATACTATAACCAATTGATATGACTTAAGTTTCTTTCTTTACTTCTATCGGTGTTCTGTCATTTTTGACAGACTACGAGCCGGTTTGGCTGTTGCGGAGGACCAGGCACAGTGGCTTTTTACCACTGAGCTGTCATATCTTTTTTTTAATGAAGACATAAGAGAAAAAAAACTTTTTTTCCTCAAACGGTGACATTTATGTTTAAGGCGTGGTGTATCTATACATGGATTATGCAAAAGCTGTTAAATGTATAGAAATGAAGCCTTGCCAACTAAGCATAAACGATATTGAACGATCTTTCGTTGCTTATGTACTTGAATATCGATTCTCAGTAGTTAGAAATCTTGAAATCGATTAATATTTTATCTTGACAAGACAATGTCTGGTTATTTTATAAGAAATGTATAATAAATCGATTTGAAGTAGGAAATTGTATTATTCGGCTGAAATAAACAATTACTGATTTAGCTCGGTAATAATCGATCATCGTCTGGCGTGGGATTTAAATATATTCGTTTGTCTGATATAAGTACGTAATCATATGTCTAGATTGTATATTTAAATGCTCAAATTTTATCATATCGCTGAAACATAGTCAGGTTTTTTTCTTACGTAACTGAACACCGTTTATTTCTAACTTAGTTATAACTTAAGAATGGGTCGGGGCAAACATTCGCGAAGTATGATGACATTGCGATATCAATAATGCAATGTATGTAGGAGGGATTTTCCACTAATGACCATTTTTTGATAAATATAGATGTTTTATCACAATTTAAATAGCAAAGAGGTGCGGCATCGATAATCAATTAGATTGGTTGGATTGAAAGATGACCACCTGTATTATTGATCTAAATGAAGATTGCGCGTGTTTCTAATAATAGACCCATATCATGTTTATAACGTGATTTCAATGATTATTTCCCGTCATTGTGTCATTACAACGGGAAAATACAGACACACACAGAAGTAGGATTCGCCGGCACGTTACCAGGCCATATACACGGGGTCGCTTTACCTAACAGCCGTCTCCCAATTCTGTATAACGTTTCGACAAAGTGAAAGATAATTGACACATTTAAGACACTATTTAAATAACAGGTACGGGAAATACACACGGATTGGTATACTTTAATTTTCATATCACTTGTCTTCTTTGGGGATTTTTCTATTATAACATTGCCCTTTACTAATGAATTTTCTGTTTCTTTCAGTTCAAAATGGTGGCAGTAACGGTATACTTGGCTGCAACAGTCGTTGGATTGACATTCGCGTACTTCAAATATATTCATCGCCGAAGGTAAGAATATTTAAAATTTATTTAAACTCAAATACGTGTGAAGTAGAATATGAATTTTTTTGTAATATATTTATTAATCAAAATTCCCCACTGTTAATAGTTTAAATGTTTGTGACGTTTTGTCACTTCTGTCAGCCTTGCCAGCGGCCAACATAACGGTAAATTAATACTTATAGTATTCACAATATCCTATATAGTTAACCTCTGTCTGATTGTCAGCATTCGCTTATAAGTTAACACTAGAGTAAATCGGTTCATAAACAAACAGTTATCACTATCGTAATAATCTTTAAAATAATTGATCGACGGCGATGAGTTATAATCTATTATATATTTAATACGCCAGAGAGTAAATCGGTGTTTAAATTTGTTTGTGATAATGGTACGGTGTTAATCCTTCTGATGCCTCGAGCTAAGTAATAACGATCTAGCAGACGACAATACATTGTCATCATACAAATTAAATTATTGTAACGAAACGAAATGCTGATTATTCTTTCTTAATGATATTTACCGCCTTGATCAACCACTTGACATTTTATACGCGATGGTCTAAAAATTAAAACTGGAATACTTTTTTTCCATGTTTCGTCGAAGTTTCATTAGATACAAAATCGCCGAGTATACAGTTTTAGATTTACATCTTAACAGAAAACTTGTCTGAACTCAAATTACCCATAACTCTGATAAGATAATAACGTCTGGGCCAAAAATACTTTGATTAACAAATTTCCCAAACTAAGATATTGGGCAAACAAGCAATCCGTTTACTAATCCTGGAGGATTTAACGATTTTGATCTGTAAAACGTTTTTGATCATAAAAAAGACATTAGGAGACGCTGATAATCTATTTTTTTGCAAATAAATATTAAACGCTTATTTATGAAAATATAGTTTATCATAACGAATTTTTGTTGTTATATTATTTCATTTGCAATCAGAATCGTTGGATTTTTCCTTTCCTACATGTATTCGATGTTGCTATTAAAACACGAGACACCAATATTCTTAAAACATTGGCCTGCCCTTGACCCAAATGTCTCCACGGGATAAATGTCCACACAAAAATTGAGCAAATTCCACTGCTCGATCAATACGGTTCAGCAAGGTTTAGGTTTCAATGCGATTTGACATTGTTTACAAATATTGTTTGAGGTATACTCTTAATGAAAACATGAATTCACCTGTACCCTCACGTTTTTAACGTTATTCTAAGTTAGCGCGGCAACATTAATCAAACAACGTATATTTATCAAGATCCTAGCAAGTCTTGGAGTAATTTTATTGATGCTGGGTAAATGAAATTTTGAAGGCCAAGGTTGGACGTCAATAATGAAACAAATACAAACAAAGAAAACAAAATGGCGAAACGGAGTGACAAACTTGACCAAATAAATAATATTTCTTCGTGAACTTGCTAAGACCACGTTTAAACTTCGAAAGTAATATTTGTATTTTTTGTCGTGTTTGAATAAATGATTTTTTTTTTGTTGAAATGGCGAAAAAACATAAGATACACGTACTTGCTTACTTGTACAAATGTTTAAATTTTTTCATTTTTTTGTTTTTATAGGCGTCTTAATGAGCCTGAAATTGTTCCTGGAAATATTATATGGGGAAATGGTGCTGACTTTGCTGAACATGCTGTCAACTTTTTACACCGATGTCAAAAGAAATTTGGAGATATTTTTACCATTCGATTATTAAACCAATACCTAACCATGGTGATGGATCCCCACTCCTACGAAAACCTGGCCCGCGAGAAGGCGTTCGATTTCGACCCAATTCAGCGTCAAGTAAATCATAACGTTTTTAACTTCGAACTGGTCGATGCCCGCAAAATGTTGTCTGAGGCCGGTAAGAAGGTAAACGGTAGATTCTTGACGACTGGAATGAAGAATTTTTCTGATAACCTAAAGAACGCCTTCCAAAAAGTCACCAACATCGATGTCAACGGAAACATTTACAAGACCGAAGGTGACAACTGGGGCCAGGATGGACTCCGAGACTTGACCTCAAAGACCCTCTTTTCTGCCCTGTTTTACACTATTTTTGGACAGGGAGAAGCAAACGAGGAGTTTGAGCCGCAAGTCTTCTACAAAAACTTTGACAACTTCCACAAATATTTCAATTACCTATGGTTAGGTCTTCCCGTTAAGATGTTCCCTAAAGCTTTAACTGCCTTGAATGTGTTAAGCAAACAACCATCATCTGAAGAGATGCTGAAGAGACCCGGAGTTTCCGAATACATCAAATTCTCCACAGAATTCATGAAAGCTAACAACCAGACCGAACAAGATATTGTTGGGCACAACTTGGTCTTTCTACACGTCAACTACAACACATTTCGTCTGTCTTTCTGGCTTCTGTACCACATCTTAGAAGATAAGAAAACATTCGTAGCTCTACAACAAGAAGTCAACGACCTTATAGAAAGCCAGTCTGTCCCAGGTGATGATAATGGCTCACCCCTTGGAATAACTATTGAAGAATTCGACAAACTCCCAATATTAGGTAACTAAACCTATAATATTTATTTATATTCACTTTATGTATTTCTTATTAGCTAGAACTTTAAATATTTTGACAAATTTGATGACACAGTTCACACAGCTAACGCACTTTGGTAGCACTGATTTATTTTCAATCTAAACTGATTGTTAATTTATAGATCCCATGATTACACAACATTTGTAAATGGATAAATATTTTATTTACAAAATCAGTGTATTTATTTTTTTATTCTTCTGATTTACAGACAGTATCATCAAGGAAACCCTCCGAGTAACCAGTGGTGTCTTCATGGTTCGTTACATCTCTAAAGATACAGAGTTCGAAATGGACAATGGTCAGAAAGTTTCAGTTCGTGAAGGTGACCGAGTAGCCATGTACCCTCCTGCCATACACAAAGATCCAGAAATCTTTGAAGATCCCGAGGTAAATATATATTTTAATACATGTACATGTTAGATACACCATGACTAGAAATCTAGGTTATAGTATCTAAAAGTTTATTGTTATTAAACATTTAAAAGAAATGTCGATAAAAATTCAAGTATTAGATTACAATTAATGTGCTATTGTGATAAAACAATGCTCATTTCAATAGTTTCCACCCAAGGCTAGCACTGAGTTAACATTCAGCTGTCCTCGTTTACTCCCGTGCCAGAACGAGCCGAATGGAACCGGAAACGGGTAAGGTTATCATTTGCTGCTAGATCTCTTGGTTTTGGGAGCTAGTTTTTAGTGTTGCGAAATCCGCTTCATTTAGCTTTCATTTTAATGTCCTGTCATAATGCCATAGCCTTTCACCAGTTATTTACAAGTTGTTTTTTTTCATTGTTTCCAGGTATTTAAACACGACAGATTCGTTGATGCCAAATTTTACAAAAACGGAAAAGAGTTAAAGAATCCATTGGTAGCGTTCGGTTCCCTGTGTCCCGGTAAAAAATATTCTTTACTTCAAACCAAATGGTTTTTGGTAAATTTAGTAAACTCTTTTGATATCGCTTTATTAGAAGGAGAATCAACACAATGTGATGTGAATTATTATGGTCACGAAATCTTACCACCAACCCATGATGTCCAAGTTCAATATCGTCTTAAAGAAAAATTCAGAGAATTAGAGTTTATCGCCAGACGACAGTGTTGAAGCTGCCGAACTATAGCCAAAATGGACAAAAACAATTCACGTGATGGTGAAAATCTCCGAACCGGCCGATATCAGTTCGGCGAATAGGGGTTCGAATACTGCGAGTGTTCCGAACGATGCAGGTGGTTCCCAAATAATGTCTCCGAGGAAGGAACAGAGTAAGTGAAACTAGTTCAAATGATTGTGCTTAGAAAACTGATGTGCTGAGAATAGGGCGGTTGCCAAGACATTGTCCGTATGGGGCCAACCCCGTTCATGCCGAATCTAGGAAAATGAGAAACTGAAACAAATTCTATATAATCTATTTTCTACAATTATTGTTATGTGTAATATACTTGATTTATTTATTGACCGCCATGTTGCTATTTATTCATAAGGAAAACGTCATGGTTTGTGATTAATGACGTGGTCGAAATGAAAAGACAATGACCAATAATCTGATGTAAAAAGCCAAAAAACTTTATACATATTGTACAGAACGTTTCTTGCATTTCTAAATATTCATTATATACGGGTAAATGTGCAACTAAGTAACTATGTAAAATGGTGACGCTTTTTATGGCGCTAAATGGTTGTGCCGTCTGCTAGGTAACGTCTTTACCTGTGAGAAACGGGGAGGCGATATTTGCATTTAATCTCGAACAAACAATAATCAAATGGTCCCTATTTAATAATTTGTTTGAAAACCCTGCCATTTTGCTAAAACTCTTATTGTTTGTTTTTTGTATTGTATTTGTTAATGATAAATTCAATAGAGAATTATCGAATTCTGCTCTGAGCTATTTGTGTTGGTAGGCCTCATCTTACAGCAGTATATGCATTTAACAAACTAATTGTATGGAAACGTGTGAATTTTATTTGAAGTGGGACGATTTATTTTGGTGTTATTAATAACTAGCATACCACTCTCATGATCTGGTCCATTTACCCATACCCGTTTGAAACTTGATAATCAAAACATATAATGATATCATAGTAATTGTATATGAGTCTGGGTAATCAAAACTACTGCAAACTGATTTTCTCATCAAATCGGCAAATAAAGTAACTCTCATAGATAGATGAAGATAAATTGAACAAAATTTTCCTCGATCGAAAATGGTCATGATAATAAAAACAGTTGCAACATAATGATCAAAATTTGTACCATTGAACCTAATCTGACATGAGTTTTTTTTATTATTATTAAAACATCAGTGAATGAATATTGCATGATATGATGATGAAGATTGCCGAATGATTGATTGGATGAATGAATATTTAAATGAACGAGTACCTGGTTTGCCAAATGAATGAATGATTGAATAAATGGGTGAAATTATCACAATAAAAGTGAAAAACAGATTGATTGATACATGGATAAATGAATGTTCACATACATGACAGTATGGTTGATCGATCGAATCAATGGATGGGTGGATGGATGAATGAATGAATAAATGTTACTTTTTATTTGTACGATTGAATAAAGCTGCCTTCAACAATCCATTTAACTAACATAATATTTGTATATTAAATCGCATATCTTAATTTATTCACATGTGTAAAGCTTATCTTATATCATGAACATGTGTATACATAAATGACATGAATAGAATAAAATATAAAAAATAAATAAACGATCGTTTTTTGTTTTTATTTTTAGAAGTTCACAAACAGGAATTAATAGAGATCTGTCATCGTTATTTTATCATAATGGCGCAATACCGGATGGGTAATTTGGCCAAAGGGGGGACACGAGAAATCGATGAAATTCTTAAAGTAAAAGAAATAATGAAAATATCAATGTTGAGTAAATCAAATACATTATGGGGATTCGGGGATTCTGTAATTATGGGGTTGGGGAGGGGTCCATAGTTCCACTATCAAGAACCGTGGATACGGGTAAAGACACATACATCTCAATGTCTATGTAGATCATAGAATAACTATTATGCAACCCAAGAATTGATATTTTCTAGAAGGTCTCAACCGTGTTTCAAGATTTTATTTCTTTTCCTCAACGGTAGTAATGAACCATGATTTTGTTGGAGCGAATCTTGTTTAAAACAGAAGCTACTTGCCTTTTTTGTAAATCAAAGTTTTATTAAAATATAATTCATGTTAGTGTTAAAGCTTGTTGAAAGAAGTTATCTCAATTTCGTCATGTTACCAAATTATATTTCAGCAGTAACTGTTATAAGACCGCCCGCGTGGTTTATCATAATGCTGTTGAGGTAATATAAAAACCGAGACATAACAACTGTGTAGATCAAAAGAGAATAGTGTATATCATAAGGCGAGTAGGTCAGAGTTTAAATATTGTTAATATACTCCATTATAATAGACTATTATTTGTATACAATACAGTTTGTTCAACCACCAGCTCCCCGCGGAGTAGCAGTTTTACCTACAACGCGGTATGCTCTCTAACTTCCGGAAATCAGATAAATGACTTAATAAATGTTTGCATGGATTTTTAAAATATCCGGTAAAAAATCACTTGTAAATAAGTAAATAAAGGAAGAAAGAAAATAATTCATCAAAACATAAGTATGAATAGTATACATATAAAGTAAATAATTAGAGTGTACATGGTATTGTAAATATTATTATTTTGGGGATAAATCACGACTTAAGTCTTTCAGATTGAGCCGGTTAGTATTGTTGTTAATATAATATGTAATACGAAATGAAAGACGAAGGATCGTTGATTTCGATTCTTAATAAAGCCATATGGCATTTCATTATCACTGAAAAGAACTCAAAGAAATCAAACTCTCAAAGTGGATGCTGTTTCTATGTTGGTTTTTAGCCTTTCATTCAAAAATGTTATCAGGCATAACTAACGATCAATGGAATTCATATCACGATTCCAATACAGCAGTTAACAGTTCGGCTTACCTCCCATAATAAAAAAAACTTGTTTATATTTGCGTTAATTTTTACGAAGTTGTTGCGTTTTTTAATTCTGTTTTGGAATTGGTAACTTAACCAAGGTGAGGGTGTTGGGGTTGGGAGCAGCTGCTCTGATGGAATGTGTGGTGGACACTTTAGAGGTACCCCTCACCCACACCCAGCCTTAAGGTCGGAAATAACATATGAGTAAGATAAGATCTTATCTTCGATAATAAGTATCAAAATATGATTTAGTTTTCTAAGGGTTCTTAATTGTGTTAAAGAGTTAATCCACGGCGTTTCAAGTTTTCGCATTTGATAATCTTGATTCTAATCTAGGTATTATAGGTCCATTGTTAGAAAAAAGTTAATATTTTTTCAAAAATTAAAAATTGTTTCAGTCTTACGTGCTTTTCACCAATATTCTTTAACAACATCCCTGTTGGTCTATTCATATACTTTGATCTTTTCTTTATAACATCTTATTTTTTTCCATTTTAAAAAGTACTAAGCGTGTATGGTACAATGATAAGTATGTTGACAAAACTTATAAGTCGAGTTTGGTAGCGAGGAAGTGGATGCTGTTTCTAAGTTGGTTTTTAGCCTTTCATTCAAAAAATGAAATTGTTCCGAAAACTGTATTTACAGTTAATATATTTGGTTACACATTATAACAGGGATTGTTCTTGAAATTAATGAATGTTTAGCGCTTGTGTAAACATGTAATTTAATATTTTGCAAAATATCACAAAATTTCTAAATTAGTAATCCTTTAAAGGCATTTGCTTGAAAAGATTAAGAGAAAAGATTAAGAGAATACTCTTCGAAATGTGTCCCAAATAAATTGGTAATTATTTTTCATGAGTATCTGTTATAGTTTACTGTTCTAAAAAAGTTTGTACTCCATTTAGAGATCGCAAAAATTAGTAAGTGTTCTTCCATGAGTTAACATTGTGTTATAGTTTATCGTTCTAAAATATTATTTTGTCAATTCGGCGCCCAAATGAATAAGTAATTGTTCTTGCGAAAGTGTGTGTTACCGTTTATTGTTCTAAACTAGTGATTTGTCCATTCGGATTATGAAAAGTCGGTGGTAGTTGCCGCTTTTTTAATTTTTCAATCAAATTTATAACGATTTTTTTTTAACAAATCAAATATTTGATAACTATAAACGTGCAGTTTCATTTCGATTTATTTGATTGTACCGGACCCCTTTATTTTCATAAACAATATTTTACTTGCACTTACCTCGGATTTAATATTGGGTTTTAAATTCTTATTTTCGTATTTTCATTCGTGTACTCGTAATAAAATTGATTTTAGTTAGGTCTTCTAGATCATATCAAATGTGTTCGCTAGTTCAAGCTTAGATATTTTGTATTGAACATCAACGCCCCATTGGGTGTTAGCAGGGTCAAGGACTAATAATTACTCGTATATAACACGTTTTATAAGAGTATATAAAACTTGTCAACGTCAGTTTTCTACTTTTATTTACGATTCAAAAATATTCAAAAATAACATAGCACGGTGAATGCTAGACCAAAAATGTTCGATAGTTAAGGACAACAAAATAGATTAAGCGCGTCTTCATTAGCCCAGTGGGTGCAGAAGAATAGGACGATAAACCCCATTTCATTTCATTTTATTTCATTTCATTTATAGACGGAAACTAAACAATGCCAGTGTTTACTGTAACAAATATTATTTTGATAAACGGAAGCTATATAAAAAGCCCCCCTCTCCCTTGGAAATATGGTAAAAGTTAATTCGCCACCAGGGGACGCCCCCGCCATTAATGAACAAACCAAAAAACACCAAACATTCCACACACAAGGAACCTGATAATAGTAAGATCAGTATCTAAGAAAAATGGGAACCTGTTTTAGGAATAATGCAATGCATACTTCGATGAGAGAGAGAGAGAGAGAGAGAGAGAGAGAGAGAGAGAGAGAGAAATGGGGTTTAACGTCCACTCGACACAAACTAGGTCATTTCGGGACTAACACATGGTTTAATTTTATTTCAATAATTCGCTTGCGCGTAGGGGTCTTTAGCTGTGGGAGGAAACCGGGGGACCCGGAGAAAACCCACAAGGTTGGACAGGCGACCCTACTCCTTGTCACGTACAACCGGGGAATCGAAACCCCGCCAGTTGACTCAATGACAGACCGTATGATACAGCGCACGCGTGCTAACCATTCGGCCATCCAACCCCCCCCCCCATATTTCGATGGATTAGAGATTTTTAAAGCAGATTCACAATGGAGCGAGTACAACGCAAGTCGCCAACTGTCGCAAGGGACAACACGTTGGTCAAATGGATGGATCAACCATCGAGGTGGGAAAAGGTGCTCAAGATATCGAAGCCAAATGTCGCTTTATCTGACCAGGGCCCTGTTTCTCGAAATCTTAACTAAAGATAAAATCCAAATTTTAGTAGATACTTCAATTTTGATTGGCTAAACACTAAAATCTCTCTAATATTATCCAATCAAATAACTAAAATTTAGATTTTATCTTAGTTAAAATTTCGTGAAACAGCCCCGCGGTTCCTAGGCGTGACTTTATCAACAATCAACATCTACAGCGAAAGTTCACCGAATCAGGAAGAAAACGAAGCTTTAAGTTGAATGTCACCCAAACAGCAGGTGTCGACCACGAGACAGGGTGTGCTTACTTTCCCTGGGTACACTAATCGTTGATTTAGTGCGTTCGTTTATTGCAATTATCATCTATCAAGCAGTTTAGGCTTTACAAAAGTGCCAAATATACATCTAAGTAGGGATGGGTTTCCTGTTACAAACATGTAATAATTATAAAATTAGTATTACTATTTAGAACAGTGGTTCTCAACCTTTTTTTAGCCAACGGCACAACCTGGAACACATGAAAAAATAGCGGCACACCTGGCTAAATAGATATATAAAATATTCGAATTTTGCAAAATAAAAACATGGTAAGTCAGATTGAATACATCCGTAGACAGAGAATAGTCATAGTCACATAGAATGACTCCAATTAAAAAAAGAAAACACAGCTATGAACTTATCAGTAGACACCAGTGAATACTCAATTGGGATCACGTGGTTTTGCACATTTTCTTAGTGTGCCATTCAAAATTTCGCGGCACACTGGCTGAGAATCAGTGATTTAGAAAATGAGCACAGTGTGATATATATGGGTCGTCTGAAAATAGCAAGACCTTCTTATCTGATTAGCAGGAATTTGTATAACCTTAGCCTATATTACAAACAAATATAGGCTTTATCAGTTATTTATTTGTCACATAATTTAATTTCTATTTTGAGTGATTCTCGAACTTTCAGTGCCTAGGGTACCCCAAGGTTTAAATCCGATGCTGCAAATTATGCTAATATATACTATTCAAAAAAAGTAGGGGATATTTGATTTTGGGGGCATAATACTAAAATATGCAAATGACTACGAAAAAAGTCACTATAGAACCTAACAGAAGAAACATTTCCAGTTACATGTGACGCCCAAACGCACCAATAGCTACCGCATGGAATGCAGCAGGTGATGCTTGGGATCATCATGGGGGTCCAACCCAAGATTTGCACGACTCTGACTTTGAATGTTACAGTCATTGTGGCATTGAATTCCAGGGTGGAAACATCAGTTTAATTGTTTTAGTGACCAGAAAACAAATTTTGATATGCGTCGGCTTACCCAAAATGAAAGGTTGTGGCGCGGACG